ATGGTTTCAAAAGCGATGTCTCAAGCTCAAGCAACGTAAAAAATATAAAAAAGTAGTTGTGAAAGTTTAAAAAGATTACTATTTATATTATAAAACAGTTGAAATATTTTTAGAACATACCAATAGTATTGAGTTTGAGTTTGTCTTGATTTTCCGTGTTTTGTTTTGCATGGCTTGCACAACAACGTTGAAAATGTATTTTCAAACGACGATTTCTGTATATATTCTGTTCAGAGCCATTGCTTTTCGTAAAAAAACCCACGGGAATAGGTTTTACTCGTTTTAAAAAAATAGTTTTCCACTTCAAGTCTCGATATAATTGTTTTTTCAAACTTTGTTGAAAAAAACAATTCGCACTCCCGGCAACCGCGCGAAATTCCTGCCGCAGGAGTCTGGGACTGGCCAAAATGCCTTTATAAATCCGCCATTTTGTGGAGACAAAATTTTTACTGAGAAGAGATAGTAGCACGCATTCTATGTCTAATATTTCTATGGTCTCAGGGCATAGGGAGGACGCACGCGGCCGAGAGGCCCTGGGGACGAGGATGGTATAAACGTCAAGTCGCACCTACAAACCTGTAGGGGGTCCGGGTATACCCACGGAAAATTTTGAAATCTGGAGTCTCTGTATTAATTTCCTACATTTTGGGGGACAATTTAATCTTTTATAGAATACTAAAGATTGTATTCTAATTCTAATCACACGCCTTAAACAGACATTTTTAACTATTTAATTACAGTCCCACGCTGGGTTGATAATATAATCATTTCGCCAAAAAATTGCTTCATCTATCGGGTTTATAGCCTTATAGGACATTTCTGTATTGAATTTGTATCGATGCTAAATGATTAATAGTGTGGAATTTCAGCAATTCTTGATTGATTGATTGAATATGGGATTTTTGCATAACGTATAACTAATTATTTCTTAATAAAGGCACACAAATTTGCCGGTTACCGCCTGATAAGGAGAACCCTGCGCGTGCAGTTTCTGAAATTCTATTACTAGAAAGGTGTAGTGAGCTGAAACACTGGTTACTTTGAAAATACATGCATAGGATTCCACCATTTTGAGCGAGGACAATGTAAAACACTACGTTTTATTATAACACACATTATTCACAAATTTTAGGAAAAGAGGGCACTGCAAACGAGAAATAAATATCTTCTTGATGAAAATGCTGTGCTTTTACTAAACGCTAAAAACAGGTAACAGCTTTGAAGATTGGCTCGATTTAAATACACTAAGACAGATTATCCATCATGATGCTTCGTTTTTCTGGCTGAGCCGTGCAAGTATTTTAAAGAATATGACGCACAACCTCGTTCTCAGGCAGTCACAGGCGGGGGAAGATTTATTTGGTTGGGGTAGAGCTAGACCAAACCCTATTGATGGATTCGGGGCCATAGTCTCCCGAAATCTTGAGGAGAGGGGGTATTTGAAAAAAATATCTAAAGTTGTTCAAGTTACATTTCTGGCAGTGAAGAATCTTATCTCTTTATATTAATATTTTCCACTTTTGGGGGCGTAACCCTCTCACTTTCCTCTCCCCTCCGGTTTCTCCGCCTATCCCCTGGCTCTTTCATCTTGTGGGTCCCTGTAGTACAGTATTCATCTTCCTTCTTTCTCTATTCTTCTTTCTTCTTCTTTCTTGCTGCTGTACTGCACTGTACTGTACTGTACTGTACTGAACTGAACTGAACTGAACTGTGATGTGATGTGATGTAATCCATGGAAACGAATGACTTTAATAACGAAAAAGGCGAATATGATTTATTCATTAGACTAGAAGAAGTTTCTGCTGAACGTCAGAAATGCAAAGCAACCTTACGTCAGAAGTCACGCGAAATAATCGAACTGGCCAGCAGGTAATTTACTCTGAGTGTATATCCACATCGAGCAAGCTTGAAAAATATGCCTGACCACGGTGGAAATCGAACCTACGACCTTTAGAATACTAGCCCAATGCTCTGCCAACTGAGCTACGCGGTCAGATCGGTTCGAGCATGTGATATTTCGGAACAGAATCTAGTTCCTTCGATATCAATGTAATCTGATAATCAGTAACGATTTTTCTGTGTTGGTGTAATGTACTCAGGTGAATATCCACCTGAGTACATTACATCAACACAGAAAAATCATTACTGATTATCAGACAAGAGTTCATGAGGCAAATACAGAACTTGCAGAAACATTAGAATCTCAACGTGATGAAATAACTAGTCAAGAGAAAAGGTATTGTTTCGCTTGAATATTTGTGTCGATGCATATGGACGATGCCAGGCTTCGCTTGCACTAGGGAATGTGAAGGTTAGACCACTATGTTGAACGCATTAAATCGTTTCTTCTTGTAGAGTGGCAGAGGTAATGTCGTTTGCAAAAGAAGAAAAAAGAAAATATTCCGAAACTATCCGTGAAAAAGACAGAAGAGTTAAAGAGCTTGGGCGATGGTATATAGATTAATTTATCGCTTCTATTTACTGTAGTTTTTACAACATTGGTAGTAAAAGTAAATTCTTTCAGGGAATTTGAGCATAAATGAGTAAATTCGTGCTCATACTTGGCAGTGTGAAACTTTTGGGTATTTTACAAGATACAGTACAACCTCTCACCTTCGGCTGGAGTTACAGAAAACAGACTACGTATAAGATAGCTTAAATAAACAAAGGGAAATGTTAGCATATATAATGCGCACTTCTTTTTTTCAGGTTCAGAAGTGAATTGATCGTAATCGGATCGAAACTGGAAAAATTGAAAGACCAGTTGAAACAGAACGATCGAAAATCTACGTGATAAAAAAAGTGGAATCATTAGAACAAAGATAGGATTTAACTAACTTTCTAACGATAATGCATGGTGTTCTGTAGAAAGTGCAGAAACTGTAGAAATTTGACCAGCTAGTATAACTACAGCTAGTAAAAGACAATTACATTAATGGACTATTATAACCAATTCGACGCGTTCGATATATCAGACTAACCAATCAGATGCGTACTAAAGCCTGGTTTCCATTAAATCGTAATCATCGCAATGGTCGCGGAACACAGACATCGCTATCACAAAAATCGCAGTAAGTCTATCTTTACGACAATGTCATATAAGAATCTTAGTTATCGGCGTGACTCAAGTTTATAATAAATTGCAGTTTTTGTTAAAAATTTTGCGTTTTTTAAATCGTTGCGACGCTTGCGATGCGGTTCTTTCGATAATTACGATTTAATGGAAACCAAGCTTAAGTGAGCGAGAGGTAGTGGTAGCGCGGTAGTCGAAGTCAAATCGGAACCTCTTTATTGTACATGGTATCACATATGGAAATGCGAACTATACACCCATTTCAAATATTTTCACAAAACGCGTAAGATTATTCTCCAATATGAACCTATTTTCCAGCACAGCCAGTTCGTCCATACAACTCTTCAAGTTTTCACCAAGAAAGACAGCATTGTCCTCTTTTTCCTTCAACGTACGAAGTATTGCCTCGTTCTCGTGTTTCTCACCTTCAAAAATACGAACCCTACATAAAAGCCATTACAAATATCATGGGTATAAGTTTTCTCGACTTCCATGCGTTGATCAAACGAGAACATGAATTGTATGAGAGTTGACTGGATATTAACGCACGTACCGGTCAGACGAGCAATCATCAACTCTCATCAAAAGTTGAACCAGCTCAAAGTTGATAATAACCGATGAGAGTTCATGAGAGTCGCGAAAATTGCAACTCTCTTCCTCGTGTGACCGTGGTCATAAGCGACGGAAGATTGGTTCAAGCTGGAAGCGCTAAACGAACTGCAGGTAAATCCAGGGGAATGTTCTTTAGTCACTCCCCCCTTGGGTCCGCCACCTATGACCGGGCCTTAATATGAACGTTCGGTATCTTACCTTTCTTCAAGAGCTTTTACTTTGGTTTTCTTCAACTGCAAGTCACATGACAGTTCATATATGACTTTCTCCAGATACTTCATCTAAGCTAAAAGTTACAATTGATATTTTTGGTACAAGAACTGGTGATTAATACTGGTCTATATTACTAATATCTGCTCCCGAGCGAAATAGTTGGCTTTGTTTGGACTGAAATGAGAGATAACTTAAATAAAGTTCTGGCATCGTATGCCCAGTTTGGTTCTTACCTCGATTTCAACTGGGTAATTCGAATTTTCTTTTCATCAAGGGATTTAGTAATCTTGTTGCATTCAAGCTCAAACACATGTGCTGCTTCTAGTCTGAAATAAATATGTTAGAATTATTAGGCACTGTGTAGAATGCATTAATTTTGTAGTAGGCTATGGTTGTTTCAGGAAGCCAGTATCCTAATTTTTTTACTTCAAACAATTTGTAAATATAGTTAATGTCTATGTTTGGATACAAATAAAGTTGTTGTTGTTATATACATGCCATAGAGAACAGTTGATTTTACCTGGTCTCCAGACTGACAATCGTTTTATCTTTCACCTTCAATGTATGCTGAAGTTTCTTACAGTTGGTTAAAGCATCTTCCAGTCTAAATATTCAAAATCGGCATGGTACCGTATCGTAAATTGGAGATTCTGGTGTATATTATATAGCTCATTCAATCACCTTAGCCCTATGAATATGTCAAGAACAAAAACTATGGCATAGTCTGGCCTAGAAATCTAGTCTAGGGTCATGTCTTGGTTTTGGTACAGTGTAGCACAATAGTTAATGGTAGTGGAACTCAAATCTGAACCTCGCTAATATGTGATTGGTGAGCTTTTTGTTGAAGTGCAACTAGGAGAACACGATTCTGCCTTTTTCGCCGCAGGTCCTCGTGCGTCTTGGATGGTAGCAATTTCTCGAAGGAAAATTGTTACGCGTCCAATATTTTCATGAAATAACGCCCGTCTGTCAGTTGTCCACATGAATTTATTAAACCAACTTTAAAGCTGTTTTGAACGCAAATGGTTTATTGGGAACTAAACTTATGTGAATGTTTGGGTAAGAAGGGCTAAAGCTCAAGTTTGACTAATAAAAAGCTATTTTGCTTTTAAAAATACATCGATTTTCCATCGCTGATAGGGTTGCCATAACCAATTTTTTACATGCAAGATTTCGCCGCTCTGTAGAGATTGTCCGTTGACCTTCCCACGATGCAGCGAAGGCCTGCGGAAGAGGCATTATTCGTCATTTGCCTGGCAAGCAAGTGCATGCTGGGGGTTGGCAGGAAAAGATGGCGCGCCGTAATGCGCACATTAATTACTAATCTTATATTTCGTACCCTTGTAAGTCGCACTCGTTGCTAAATCTAAAATTGTCAAAAATACCATGTGCATATGTTATGAATGTATGCGTAAATTTGCAAATAGTTGTGCGACATTAATTGACGTATTAAAGCAATTTTTACCTGTATTTAAAACTCGGTGTGCATTGTGAAGGAAGAACTCGCAAGCGGTCTTTTGCACACATGAATCTAACAATCCACCTTTTTATACAGGGTGTATCAAAATAAACGCAATTCATCTTTTGTGCTTAATAACTTTCGAAATACTATTTCTAGTTAAACGCTTTTAGGCTTACTTCAAAGCCTGTTCTTTTCTCTTTCAAACAAACTATTATTCTTGTCTCCAATGCTAGTAATAATTGCACAGGAAAAGATTTAGTAAAACCTATCATTTTTAGTTGCTGTTTAATTATGCAAGTTTACTATGTTATTGTTTAGTCTGTTTAAATGTTAGAATTTTCTTCTTTAAACTTTAATGTTGTCGTCACTACATCTGGAAAACCACGTAAGAACAAATTAAAAGTATTTTAAAAGAGACCAGGTTGTTTGAAAATCCTAAACGAATGCTAAAATCGTCAAAACATTCTGGTGTCTGAGCCAGAGTGTCATCGAATTGCGATGTAATGTAATGTAAACAGAAATTATAGCAAGTTGATGTCAGTCAGCTTAGATGGTCCAAGCCAAAATTATATCGCATTTGAAGTTTCAAACTGAGTTAAAAATAGTGGAAGAAAAGCCGTAATTATACTTATTGTTAAAATCCATTTAATAAAATGCAACATTTTTTTGTTTTAATGAAAAAATCAGTTATTTTCATGAGAACGATTTGTTATTCCATCTTAATTTTTTTAATCTCCAATCGCAATAACGTAAAGTATTATTACCCGCGAACCAATGAGTCAAATTTAAGAAACAACCCACTGTTAGAAAGCTGAATGGCTACGCTTTAAAATGAATGTAAACGTTAACGTTTTCGTCTATTAGTTGTTTAGCAATTTACATTTCAGTCGAGGATTGCGCTTTTTTTGATACACCCTGTATAATGAATTCCCAAGGGAAATAAAAAATCTGAATTTTATTATTTTTATTATTCATTTGCATTTTAACGCTAATTTATTCCAAATCGTATGCGTTCGCAAGTATTTGTTATGCAAAGGCCGGCGTTTATATCCCATTTTGACCAAACGTTCAGGACTCTGATTTCAGGAAGTAAGTTTAAAATGTTTTGTTGCAGGATTGAAGAAGCAAATAGTGAGAACAGAAAACTTTAACATTCTGTTAAAATGAAGGAAGAAAGAATTGTTAACTTGGAAACAAGGTAAAACGATAATTTCATCAACAAAATTCACTATCTTGATGAAAATACTCTAGTTATGATTTTTGTCACTTATACCCGTTAAAACGAGCTCAACACCTTCCATCATTGTTGGTCCGGTAACGTTGGAATATATATGTTTCTGATGATGTCTCTGAGTGTGTCCACACTGGTTAAGCTGAAAAGCTTGCTTGACGGCCGCAGTGGGAATCGAATCCGCGACCTTTGGTTTGTTAGTCCAATTAGGCTTTTAGCCAGGGTCCTATAAGAGGACGTCCAATGTAGGTACAACGATGCATCTACAGTAAAGAGAGGGTGTGTGTGTGTGTGTGTGGGGGGGGGGGGGTTGAGAAAACGTTCTTCCGGAAAACCTTTGAAGTTTACGTTATTTCATGTCATCTGTTCCAAGCTTGTTTGAAATTTTTCTAACACACATGGCTTTGTGAGTTTGTGACGCTATGCTTCTTTACTTATAACTACGACATTTTCAATCACCATCAAATTGATCAAAATGGTAAATGTATAATAATAATGAGAGTTGAAGCTATTTCGTTTCAGATATATTAATATACTTAGGGAAATAATTTGAAAATAATTTCCCTTTTCCCCCAGAATTTGGGCGTCCAAAGGCGTCCATTTTTTTTGTTCTAGCGGCGTCCCAGGACGCCTGGAGGCCCTTCTGGCTAAAAGCCTGACTGTCCGATCTCTACCAAGCAAACAAACATATATCTTATCGTTTTTACGAGCTCTGCTGAAATCTGCCCTTCTAGAGCAGATTCTCGATTCAAATCTATATTGTTAAGTTATTTTTTGTATTTAATGTCTTTATATAAATGGAAAGGCCTGTCTACAAGAAGCGGTTCGATTACTATAGAAGCTCTAGAGTCGATTTTAGATCGAAAGTTGAAGCCATTAACAGACAAACTTGAAGGTCTCACGGCATCGGTGCAGTTCATAAGTGATAAATATGATGAAATAACCAAAGAAATGGAGCGTTTACAACTCAAAACTGATACTGTTGTCGAGGAAAATAAGCAACTGAAAGCAGAGGTTTTCAACTTGAAAAATGAACTAGAAATACAAAAAGGAATTACTAACAATCTTGAACAGTATACACGAAGGGATTGTCTTGAAATCGCTGGCATCCCCGAGATAGAAGGTGAAGATACTAATGACTTGGTAATAAAAGTTGGTCAATAGGCAATTCCCATTATAGCTAAGCATCATGGGAAATGTGGTAGGCTTCACTTGCACGCGAAATGGCTGCCGCGAAGCGAGCATTTTGCATGCGAGAGAAATTGCTTTATTAAAGTACATTTTTTCCAGAGTATTATAGTTTAAATAGAAGTAATGTGTTTGTATTACATTGAAGTGTATTGTGGACGAAGTATATCGAAATCGAAGCGAAAACGGACGAAATAATTGGTGTTGAACAGGCGAGGAGCGAAGAATGGCCTCGCAAATACGAACCGAGAGGAAGGTTCAAGTCTACATTCTAAGGTGAGTACGCTTGGTAGACATCGGACTCCTCGATACAAATACGTGTGACTTGTTGCTTCATTTATATCTCGATTTTCTCAACGATCCAGCGTTATGTCGCGATTTTTTCGCTTCTTGAAACTCTCAAATTCGGCCCATGATATCTTTTGTTCGTTCGATAAGCATGGCCTCTAAAAGCAGTCTTTTAAAAAAGCCTTGAAAATGTTTTGGCGCGAAAGAAAACCAACCTAAACCGGTTTTTTTCCGCCCCAGCTCTGTTACGTTGCCAGAAGCATAAAAAGAAATAATTTTACCGCTGTTTCTGCCGTTTATAATAATTTCTGCTTCCTTTGTTGTGGTTGGTTCATTTCCTATCAAAATAAACAAGTAGGTTCTAGCTAGTTAATTTTAAATATATTAAATTTACCTCTTTTAACTTTGTTAAAACTGTTTAAAATTTGCATAGTTTTGTGCTTAGCTAAATACAAATTTAAAGGTATTTAAACTAGGCATTCTAGTTTAATTTTTTTCATATAAAGCTGCAGGCAGTTTAGTGGACAAGAATATAAATATATTAATATTTTAAAATAAGGAGTAGGTTTTAAGGCTGGTCCTAAAAATTAAATTTCTACATAATTTTAAAATTGTTAGGATAGGTTTAAGTTAAATTAAATAAGTTTATATTGTGGATAATGAACCAGGAACTTCAATAGAGGCAGATACAAATTTGGCAGCAGACCTAGAAACTACATATTTTAGGAAAAAGCAAAATGGTGGCACTGGTGGAACAACTTGTTGTATTCGTAAATGTGATAGCAATACTAAAAAAAATCCTGAGCTATCATTATATCAAATTCCAACTGATATGAAGCTGAGAAATATGTGGTTACACTTGATTGGCCGAGCAAGCTTTAAACCTAACAAGTGCCACCGAGTTTGTTCAAAACATTTTGTGGGTGGCAAGAAGACTTGTCTTCACAATGTTCCAACAGTTGTGCAAAAAGTTTTGCTGCCTACACCAACAAAGCCCAGAACAACATTTAAATATGTAAATAGAAGAGACCCAAATGAGGATAGATGGATAATAAATGAACAGGCAGAACAGCTAACATCTTCAAGAAATAA